ATTCATTCCCACTTCAAACTAACCACCTCACAATCACCATCCTCCTTCTCTGCAACCCTTTATTCATCCTCCTCCTCATCAGTCTGCATCCACCCACCAACTCTTCAGAGCTGCCAGCGTCCACCTCGCTCCGTGCCTCGTTTCTGTGCTGCTGGAGGACTCCTTCAACACTGATGTTAAAGGTGTCTTATTAAATCTCAAGTGGGCTTTTGTTATTGCTGCTCTGCTCCCTGTCTCATGCTTCAGGAATGGAGAAATTGATGTAAGAAGTAGTAAAATATGTATGAAGCACATGCTGAAAAAATAATATCCTCAGCACTGTTTTAGGCTTCACATTGATCGAATAAGCCTACCTCTTGAACAGAACATCGCTCACTCGTAGTTGTGCTTGATTATTTTGATGAAAATGCTCTAACGTAACTCCAACCCAAGTGGAAAATGTTAGACTCTGTGCCTGTAACACGTACGGAAACTTGTAATAGTGACAAAAAATATTATTTTCTGTAAAAGTGAAGACGTCTGGTGTCTCCATCTTCTTATTTGTTTACAGTGATCAATAGCTGATGTGTTTTTCCTTCTGATAATAAATCTTTTACCCTCCTGGGACATGACAGACCATTCATAATACTGCACAATGTCAGGACTGCTGTTGCTGCGGTGGGGTAGGGCAAAAACCTTTTCAAATATAGAATAGCGCCAAGTTTGTTGCTTATTTCCTAATTTCCTAATATTTAGATAATGCATCAAGATAAAGTTTGTGATACAGTGTTGCCAAGGTTACTATCGCCTGACAGCAAGAAGGTCCTGGGTTAGGGGTTAGCCTAGCCTGAGGACATTCCAGGTGGAGTTTGCAGATTCTCCTGTTGGGGCCCTGGGTTTTGAATTTTGCATTTATTTTTAGTTCAATTGTATTCATGGTGTTTTGAGTTGTTGTTGAATTATTGTGGGTCGGTTACTTTCCGGTTGTCTCAGTTCTTAAGTTTCATTTGACCCTGCAGTGTTCCCCATATCCTTCCAGCTCTCAGTGCCTTGCATTTAGTTTTGCTTCCTTTATCTTGTTATCTTTTAAATGCTTGCATCTGTTTGTTTACCCCCCTGTTCCACATTCCCTCAATTAGCCGTTGTGTATTCTCTCCTTCCTCTTTGTCGCAACATTTGTTCGTTATCGTTCCTCGTGTTTTCCACTCTGGTGAGTGTGTAGCCCCACTTCTTGCCCTCTTCTTAACAGCTGTACTATTTTCTAACTCGTATGTTTGGTTATAGGACTGGCAGTTTTGATCAACAGGTGTTCCTCAAAGGTACACGTTGCATTTTCTAATTGCCTAAGGTTACCATTAGGATCATAATTAGAGTTGGGGTCTGAACTGCTGTAGTTGTTGAGTTTTATAAAGCATTCAGAATTTAAAATGCCTCTCAGAATTGTTTTAAGACTTACTGGAAAAGAAAAAACAGATAAAATGGTGGCGCCAATAACGTATGTTTGCTAATTTGAGCCACTTTCTCCTGTCAGTAAAACATTTTAAAATGAATAATCTGCCAGCTTTGTGGTACAGAGTACCAAATAAGTATATACTTCAGTGATTAGCAGTGTGTGCACCCATGCACTTTATGGATCCAGCTTTTCTTTCAATGTAGCTGCCATCACCAGTGTGTGAATGGGTGCGTGACTGGATGTGTAAAGCGCTTTGGGGTCCTTAGGAACTAGTAAAGCGCTATACAAATACAGGCCATTTCTAACATTAGCTGACTCCATTTGTTCTGACATGTTCACTTCTGCCTCCAAAAATAAGGATGCCAATGGTTATCATGCTAAATCTGTAACATGTATGCCATGCCATATCTTATACCACACCACACTTCAAGACATATTCATATTAGTCTTAGAAGCTTACATGGAAAGCTTATAGTGGAACATTGCCATCCCTCCAAATGATGAGCTTGTATTTCATCCGCACGCACAAGAAGATATTAGTGGTTGATCATAACAGTGCGTCTAGACAGGAGTGTTTAAGCAAAACCTCTTAAAATATCTGTGGAAGATAGAAAAACCACAGGAGTGTGCACTTACTGCAGAAAATGGAAGTGCAATTATAAACCAAAGGTCACCAATAAGTGAAAAGACATTAAGATGTAATAGAAAACAGGCCTTTTTCAGGGAATATGCAAGAATTGAACTTACAGTCTTCCTGCAGCAATGGAAGTTAAAGACAGTAACTACACTAACTGCAACTATGGTCCACTACTAGGAAACACTGTACTGTGGGATGTAGCAGACTATAGGGATATCAAAACGTTAACAAAAAGGGAGCAAATGACTGGAGAAGGTTATGGTAGATAGCCACACAGTCTTCAGGCTTAAATTGTATTCCAAGATGAACTGAACAGAAGGGTGAAAACAAAGCATCCAACAAGTGCAACACATTTGTGGCAGCGTCTGCAACAGTGTTGTAAAGAACTTTCCAAACAATGATTCATTTCCATTGTAGACCGAATGCCACATGTTGTTTGACTGCTAAATGAATCTAAAACTTTAGATTAAATTTAGGACGTAAGGCTCCACGGTTCCTTAAAAGCATATTTCTTTTCGTAGGTTTTTCTGACGTATACTGAGACAAAACGCTGCGTCAGTTGAATCTACAGTATATTTATTATCCAACCCACTCATGTTTGCACCACTCTAAGTCTGAAACTAAACACAAGAGATAAATAGTGGATCCGGATGTAGTCGAGCCAACAAGACTCACAGTAGACAGCGGGTTTCAAGCAATGCTCATCGAGTCTCAGCTTTTTTTTTTAGCAACATCAGTCAACTGCAGAGAAATACATGGTAAAGCTCCAACTGCAGAAGCCTGCAATTAGATCAGCTATCAGAGCATAACCTCTGCACGGAAAGACGAGCGCTTTAAAACAGGCTCACTTTGCAGTCCAGTTAGTTTTAAGTCACGTACACAATTATAATATGAGTTTTTATATGCTACATATACGTATCATTTTCTTCGCACTCATAAGCAACAAGTCCTGGCTCTAAACTGTTATATCCTCCATCCTCTGCTCATCCATCATGAAGTCCACAGGTGTGGGACCACTTTTAAATTTAATTTTCATTCACTCTTTGGGTAAGTTTAGGCAATAAAATTACTCGCTAACCTTTATGAAAGGAATGATGATTTTTTTTTTCAAATGAAATCCTTTTACAAACATCGGGATGGTTGTCAAGTAAAGCAAAGTTAGCTTATTAGTTAAACTGCTGGTTACATATTACTACAGATGTTCGTAATTGAATAAGGAGAGGTAATTTGGAAAATGATTTATTGGGATGCAGAATTCAGCTGATAAGCTGTTAGGAGGTAAAACTTTAAAGAACCATCATAGCACAGTGGAGTCTAATTCCTATCCCAGCAGTGAGAGGAATAAGGACAGGACCCCCCGAGTCTAGGTGCTGATGTTGGTGATGATGATGAAGGTGGAGGCTTGAATGGGACTCCAGTGACCAGGATGAGGCAGAGATGGGGAGAGAATTAGAGTCTGAAAGGCAGAATGAGAAGAGAGCGCTCACATTAAAGCACACTGAGCAGAGGCTGATTGGCTCACAGAACACAGGCAAGAAAATGATTGGACTTGAGTAATGATGTCAGTATTGAGTTTGACAGCGTGGAAAAGAGGAAGTGATGTAAAGAACAGACTAGAAGACTAAACACACAGCAAAGCAGGCAGATGAGTGATTGCAGAGCTTCTTATTGAACATACAAATTTGTTTCTTTTATGTAACAATTTGTACAGCTTCATTAATGACTCAATGTGGCGTGCCAACCTCAATGCGGCTTCTGGCTCATCTGAAAAACAACTATGAAAAAGCCATTTTGGGTTATGTAATGTAATGGATCGCCTACATAACTGGAAATAAAATGAATAACATCTACTTGCTTCAAACACCACACAGGGGAAACTGTGTCAGATATCAGAGCAACAGCATCTTTGGCTCTTTGAGTCCAGATGGAACAGCAACAATCTTTTCCATTACAGAACTGGTCCATAGACCTCTGCTGAGGTTTATGTGAGCGTCATGTCTTTCTCTTATAAACTGTCTGATATGACCATGAATAACCAGAAGGGTGTGCTCAAGCACTAATCATTAGCACCATTGATTATCAGCTAACCTTTTAACATCCACTAGGGAACCAGACATGTGTTTAGGGTTAGTAAGGTTAGGGCTGGGTTTGCTAAATATGCATTTTCAGAAACTACAAAATGTGTTTCAAAAGTATCAAAAGTAGATCCATATATATAAGAGTATATATATAAATATACTCTTGAGGATATTATGTATCACCCAACTCTGACCCTAACTCTGTGGGTCACTGGCTACCAGATGTTTATTTTTATTCTTGTTTTTAATCATCCAAGTGGAGAAGCTGTATTAAAAACATTATAATGCCAACATTTTTTGAGAAATGTCACATCATATAGTTTCTGAAAAATTGCCTTGACGTTAGATTAGGTGACTGCCTCCCTGGCAAGAGGCAGTCGTTCTTCTTCTTTTCTGAATGATTGAAACGGCAGTGGTGCACTACATGCCAAATAAGAGAGATATGATCATAACTGCGGTTCTTTCATCATTATTCCATTATGCAACTGTTACATACTGTTTTATTAGGCTTACAGATCTTATAATCATGAATTATTATCTCACATTTCTGTTATATCCATGAAGTGCACCAATATTTCATGATGACATTACACAATGATGCCTTCTTTAGGTTTCATGGGCTCTCTGCCCCACTACCGTCATGTTGCACACCCTAAGTGCAGTGATCGAATTACAGCGTAATGACTCCGTTTTCCCACAGGGATCAATAAAGTTGCACCTTGCCTTGTATGATCTAATTGCTGCGGTTGTTACCTGGCTTGTTTCTCATATACAAACACACTCGTTAAATGGGCTTTGATGCTGCCTGTTTGAACACGGTGGAGTGACATGTTTGTCTCCCCCTCCCCAACAGGTTCACGTGGGCACCTCACACCAAGAGCAGAGGGTGGTGGGATACGTCACATGTACGCATCTCCACGCCATAGAAGGTAGGTTATATGATCTACAACTCTCTCCTTCTGTCTTTTGTCATTTCTGTCTCTGCACATGCACACATGAGTGTATTAGTAAGGATCCCTAGATGCCTTTTTTGAAGGGTTGTTTCTTAAGCAGGATGGAAAACATGTCAGGTCCCAATGTGATTGTCTTTCTCTAGAAGACCTGCAAAGACAGTTTTGTGTGTGTGTGTGTGTGTGTGTGTGTGTGTGTGTGTGTGTGTGTGTGTGTGTGTGTGTGTGTGTGCACGCTTCTCTGTCCAGATACTTAGATAAATGAGCACATCACAACCCGAGCATGCCTCCTCCTGCTGTTCCCATGGTGACTGCCTCAAGCTGTTTAAGGCGTCACAGCCCTATTTAAAGCCCCTGGTCGATGTCACCCTCATTTTTTACCAAAGACATACCCTCCCCACCTCTTTTCGCCTGCTATTCTGGGCTTCTCCTACGCTTCTCTCAGACCTAAATATAGCAGTGGCAGGGCTGTTTCTAAAGATACATCAAACACAAAGCCTTTGGAGGTTAAGGGGGCTGGGCTGGTGGGGTAAATCAGGGAGAACAGAGAGGAAGAAACAGGGGAGGAGTGCAGAGACCTGATTCTCTGAGAACTATATGAGAAATCTTTCCAGGCTGAGTGCCCAATTCATGATGCAGCGGGACTGTCAGCATATAGATATACAGTATATACTGAACTCAGTAATGCAGTGGCTACCTCATCTCTTGGCTTTCTTCCATTTCAGTGCAGTTCAGTTCAATGTGCTCTTATTTTTGTTCCTCTTTGACTTGTTGCCAGCGTGGTGAGGATGGAGGTCCTAGGCCAAAAGCCAATGGACACGTTACCAATCTGTTACAGAGCGAACAAACACGGTTACCTCAACATGCATGTGCTTGGACTATGAGATGAAACCAGAATACCCAAAGTACTAAGTAACCCAAACCTTCTTGCTGTGAGGGACATATATATAATCACTTTATGAACTTTATGAACTAAAGTGACGACCACAAAAGGCACCAGTTTTCTATTGCTGTTGCTACTTCACTCACACCCAGAAAAAATAAGATTTAATGTTGTATAGAGCCTCATTTAGGCTGTTGTTGAAAGAAGAATTGCAGCCAGCAGCCAAACTGTTGAGACCTCAATTCACTGATTTGTTGTCTGCTCTAATATTGCTGCATCACAGCCGGTGTCACAAGCGGTCGAGATGCATATACATGTATTCAATTTTTACTTGGACATCTCTGTCCTGTTTTAGTCCTGTGTTTCCATTTCAAGGATAAAGGTAATTTGATCTCAGCATTAATATTTTTGGTAAAACACTGATTGTACTGGACAAAGAATATATCTTTGCACAGTGCACAGCACCATAGAGCATATGGATTGTGTAAAACTGATAATAATGATATCTTTTTCATTTACCCCTAACATTTATATTTTTAACCTTTAAACAAAAATATCTATTTCAGCCATATTTCTGTAAAGAATCAATAAAAATGTATGAAAGGAGTAGCTGGAACTGAGGTGGCTACAGAGACCTGGACCACCTGCCTAAGATAAAACCCCTTTGAGAGGCTCAAATATAGTTGTGTTGTTAGTTTCCTAACTCAGAACAAAACTAATCTCTTTGCAAATTAACAGAGATTCAATTACTCTGAACTATCCTGAGGTACAGCTCAGTTGAAGTTCCAAATTCCCCGCTGGTATTTAACATCATTACTTCCTGCTTGTAAACTTCACAAAGACCACAGTTTAAAGCTCTGATGGTGCCTGGAAACTAAGGAGGTGGTGCATCCCGCATAAATGGCTGCATTACTCACCTGGGTGAAACATCTCTATATGCACCAGGTCTGCACTGACCCATCTTGTTATGAGAGGGATAAGTTTGGTTTGGTTTTAGACACATGCTAAATAAGCACATTTCTTAACATTAGCCAAACTCAAACATTACTCTTTTTGAGTCGCCTGGTGGATTTTAAAAGGTTAAACTTTGTCTACACATCAAAGGATTTGTTTGTTGCATCACCTTAAACCTGATGATTGTTTGCTAGTGGACATCCACTAGTTCCTGCTAATTTCTCTGTGTATGTATTCAGAGTGAGACTGTTTACCTGAGTGTTCCTTTTTTTCTGATAAAAGCATACAAATCATTATATTATTTTGATCTGAAGAAACATTTAGTCTTCATGCACATACACAGGCAAACGCTCCCCCACATCCCCCCCTCCCACATCCATCCATCTCTAAGAGATGCAGTCACACAAAAAGAAAAGAAATAGCATTTCACATGTACTTGAGCTGAGAGTAATCAAAGCCAAAGCCACCTACTCACCCACCAATATCTTGACACCTCTTTGTTTCTCGCACTCTCCACTATTCAGCTGATATTTCTATCGCATGCTTTCACCCACCGCCTCCTTCTATTCACCTCCTCCCTCCGATCCATAACTAACGCCAATTTATCAGATGTACTGGCAGCAGCGGACAGGCACAAATGCTGCCAAAGCAAAACAGCACCAGAAGTTACTTAAAGGGTTAGGCTGCCTTTTTTTAAGCAGGATTGTAATAATCGCTCCGTAGTTACAGTATTAGACAGTGGGTGACAGATGGCAAAAGCAAGACCTTCTCACAGAGCACAGATCAAGTCAGAAACAACATGAAATGAAAGAGCTGGGGTGGCGGTGGGTTACAGAGCGGCTTGCAGAGGCAGAAGAAACTCATTCTTTGGTGTCATATTACGTTGTAATCTACACAATGCAAATGTTCACATTCAGGTTCTAACCCACAGTACTAATGCTGAATTAATCTGTGAGATTATGCTGTGATTACACCCATTTCTGTATATTTTAGTGATTTTCAGTAATAATCTGCTACTCATTTTACTGCATTATCTCAGGTGATGCATCAGTACGGTGTGAGCAGCTGGACCGGTTGCTTCAGTGGGGGGCTGAGTTTCGCCAGTCATCATCCATACCACTGGAAGGAGAGAAGGTGCTGGAAGACCTGGTGGCCTTCGACGTCATCCTGGGAGACCTCAACTTTGACAACTGCTCTTCAGGTATGTCTAAATTGATAGTGCCAGGATCAACACAGGGGTAGTTGGGATGTTCTCCACCCACCTCAAAATTTGATTGCATGCTGAACTGGAGAAAAGCTGTACAGTGGGGTTGAATTTTGGATATGCACTGATGTAGATCTTGAAATAGGTCATTTCTCAAAAATGTCAACGTGTTCTCTAACTTGCTGTTAACATCGAGTCTCCCATTTAGTACTTGGAAAATTCTGAAAATCATTCACTTTGTGTTTTAAAATGCATTTGATCTTATGATTCAGTTATAAACAATCTGAGGTTCGACTAATTACCCCAAACTGCAGCTTTAGTTCTTTGCTTTGTAATAATAGTGTGTAAAGAACAAAGCTGCAATTTTTAATTCCAAAAGAAAACCATTGTTTAACTGACTAATGTACTAACACGATAGGCTCCTGCTGTCAAATAGACAATGAACATTTTAATAAGTTAAGTTGATTGTTCTTATTAGTCATATTGTTAAATTCTTCTTTGAAACCTTTCCGTGATGAGGCATTGAATGTGACCACGATGCTTGTTATAATTAATCAAAACAGCCTTGAAACAGTGAACCTCTATGACAGTGTGTCAGTAAAGCTCATGGCTCAGCTCACAGATCTTTGTACTTCACACTGCAATTGTACATGCAAAAATAAAATGTGAATTAAGCTCTGAATGCTTCTAAGTAAGACTGAATAGCAGCTCAGTACTGTACCTGAAGGCCTCCTGTATACCCACAGCTTTAACCAGAGCTCTGCACTGGTGTTATTTATATAACCACCATCAACAGCACCAACATAAAAGACAGAAAGAAGCATTGCTGTCTCTTTATCCCTTAAATCCCAGTGCGAAAAAGTGTTTGTGTTGTAAAGCAGACTTAGCAATAAAAAGCAGCGCAGTGGATTAAAAAGACGGATAGAGTGGGAGAAAAGGTATGAAAAATAAAAGATTTTTATGAGCTAATTAATAACTATATAAGACTAACTATTCACCACATTTAATTTTTGCATTAAATGAGATAAATGCAAGACGACAATAATAAAAAGCATTCATACAAAAGAGCTATCTCACAAACACAAGCATGATGTAACTTGCCATTGCCAGTGTGTGAATGTGTGTGTGAATGGGTGAATGACTGAATTAGTGAATGTAGTGTAAAGCGCTTTGGGGTCCTTAGGGACTGAGTAAAAGCGCTATACAAATGCAGGCCATTTGCCATTTACCATGATAATTAAACCAGCTGCAGTTGGTATCAGAAATAGAAAGCACTAAAGGTCAAGTCCTTGGCAACGGTGGGGAGGAAGAACTCCCTTTTTAACTGAAAGAGTCCACACAAGCAGGCTCAGGGAGGGGAAAAGGTCTGTAAAGAGAATGAAGAGGGAAAAAGAAAAGTGTAGATCTGTGGAGGTTAAAAGGGGACTTAAGTGAAATGAAATGAATGAATGAATAAATAATAATGAAACTGATTTATTTTATTATACTTAACTCGTGTTTTGCCCTGCACAGCATGCTAGCAGCTTAGCAACTATGACCTCCTAAAGAAGAATCAGTAATGTGTGACTTTTCTGCCGTGTTTGGAGTAAAACTGACTTTCCTGACTGTGTGTATAACCTTCCACTGTGTATGTGTGCACACTTGTATTTTTCCAGAGGACAAGCTGGAGCAGCAGCACGCACTTTTTACTCAATACAAGGACCCATGTCGCCTGGGGCCAGGGGAGGACAAACCATGGGCTCTGGGTAACAACACACAACCCAACACATGCCCACGCACATCTTCCTCTACGGTCGCTCCATACGCACTGTAGTAATATGTACACCACCAGCTTTGGTTACAGTCTGATTGTAAAATGCAGGTGTTGCTGTGTGCACCAAGGATCCATGCGGTGCCTGCAGAGTGCAGCAGGCATTAATCTGGCTCAGGCTGGTTAAGTCAGAATGCACCCAGTACAGCAGGCTGATACATGGGCATTAGTGACGCAGAAGACTGGAGGGTTTTGGTCTGGATATGGAGCATTTTTTTAGGCCAGCGGTATTTCAGGGACAGTGTGGGCAGGACCGAGTGAAAGGGCTTGTTTAGAGAAGGGCTTATTTATTTGGACAGGCATATTTTCCATTGCAAGCCGGGAAAACAGATTGGCACTGCCTGTTTCGCTGTTATTAGACATAGGGGGGTTGGAGGGGAAAGAAAAAACTGATCAATGAATCAGTGAAAGAAAGGGAAGGAAGATTATCCCATTTCATAAAGCTTATCCAAAGAAGATTAGACCTGAATGGATACAATAGTGAGCCAAAAATCACAGCTAGAGAGCTGAAGCTGCCAGATATTGTCAGATGTTGTACTGACAGAGTGTGCAGTAATTTCCTGACTCTTCTGGTGGCAAACGGCAGGATTTCATACTTCTTTTAAATCTTGTGGAAAAGAAGGAAAAGCATGAGACCAACTTGGCATAAAAAGCCATGGCAATATGTTCATATGACTGAAGTTTCAGCAAAAAAAGAAAAATCTCCCCCACTCATAAATGTCACGTCTCTTTTCATGATGCGTTTAAGTTCATGTTAGAGGGCAGATTAAACAACCGCCAAAGCCAGCAAGTACACTCACTGTGGTCTTCGATGTATTTTTGGAGCTGTGGCCAGAGCTGGTGTGAAAGAATATTTATTTTGTTCCCTTCACAGCTTGTTGGTGTTTTCAGGATTTATGAGACCAGAAAACTGAGGTCATGTTAACCACTCAAAACAGGGAAGCTGGTGCATATCTGTACTTTCCCAAGCAAGTTGAAGCAACACGTTCTCACTCCCAACCCAACACGTGCTCATGCTCAGGAACTCCTTCCTTTTATATTTTAACACATTAGTGTGTTTTTCCTTTTCAGGGGTGCCATTTACTGTTGATTTCCAAGAGGAGGAGTAACAAAATCCTACATTTGACAGGTGTCTGGAAACTAATTTAAGGTTAGGGTTAAGGTTTGTTGGTGTTTTAGCCACATGCATGGATTTTGGCCCTGTAGTATTTAGAAGCATTTCCATTTGGATGTGCCAAATGGGCAAAAATACCATGAAATCTAAGTCTATCTGGGTCACCAGGTGGGGGTGAGCCTAACGCAGAAGACAAAAGCAGATTCATTTAACTCATGTTTTTGACCTTACCATTGGTGTTGCCATACGGTTAGCTTAAATGCAGACTTTCATTATGTCAAACACCCAGTAGAAAGGCAGACTTCTCCTTTCCTTGTTTCCTTAACCTTAATCTTACTACGCAGTGAAAGTCTTAAGATTTAGAGTTGTTCAGTTATCAGTTCTGCTTGCCTCTAATGTCACAACTCACTAATACACTGATTTGTTTTGAACTTTCAGCGACTTTTTAATGCCTCAGGCAAACAATCTCTTGCTGTTTTGTTAAAATCTGCTATGAGCTGTATTAAAGTAACCAAAGTGAAGCGAAGGCTGTAGTCTAACTCTGTTTGCATTGGCTATGTGCTCAGTTTGATGTTGACTGTATTGCCAAACCACTGTATAGTATAGTCTCATGAATTTATTTGACTTGAATGATGATAATAAAAGCAAGAGTTAAAGCGGATCATCTCTGTAGCAGGAAAAGAAAATGTGAGTTGACAGAAGGGTTAGCAAGATTATGTTTCATTTTACTGTTGAGACTGCTTGCACCCTCCCGTTTTTAACTCCAGCCTTGGCAGTGAAATTATTTTTTAGTCCATGTTTATACAACCTGGAGTAGCCTTAGTACATACGATGTGTTTTCTTGTCTATCTCAAGGATCCACATCAACAGCCTCGTTGTGTAAGTGTTGTCAGATATACATATATAGTACCACAGTCCTCTCTTTCTCACTTCTCCTTCATGTCTTTCCTTGAGCTGTCTGAGTTAAGTTGATTAGCAATAGATGTGGAAGTTTTGTTTGACTTGGCCAGGTTTGGTTGCATTAGCTTTGGCATTTCTTATGGGGAGTTGGAGCTCCTGGACAAATTCTGCACCAGTACAGGGCGAACAACCCGACTCCACGCAGTGGCCGTGCTCAGCATCCTTGGTTACCATGGTGTCCCATGGTACTGATGACATCAGCAGCACTTTTTTTCTTGAAGTCTCTCTGTGGTTATTTCTGACCTTGAGGGACTCCCACCGACTCTGTCGAGCTGCTAACAGCGTACCCAGTGGGCGACACCTTCAGGTTCTGACCGAGTGAGAATGGGTTGGCTAAAAACGGCAGCAGTGTAGCGGAGTATGCCCACCGGACACCCCGCCATCTTTATTTTCACTGATCTAAAACCTGCTCTTAGAATTGTGAAAAACACTGTCCGCGCATCAGACGCCTACTCTTCATAAGAGCTCCCAACACTCATGAATTGACTGGAGTAACTTCAGAGTGCTGCGCTCGTCATACAGAGCATTTTAAACGCATTATCCAGCCCACGGCCTTGAGTCCTCATTCTCAAAAGCATCTCTGAGTGCTTCTCTCTCTCTTGCTGTTTTATTCCACTGGTTTATGACAGTAGATTGTAGTCTGAGGATTATAAAGGCGGAGAGGGTTTCTGACCCTTTAGAATAGCTATACTGGAAGCTAGATGTTATTTGACATAGTGAGGGGGAGGACTGTGCAGTGTAAACTACATCAATAAAGCGTGAGCAGAAATGGTTTCTGCAGTATGTCACTGCAAATGAAATACACAGAGTGGAGATGAATCATTGGTGCAGTTGTATATGAATATTTTTCACGAGCCAGATTTTAATCAGATACTGGTGTTTTGCTGTTTTCATCTTTATTTAAGCTAATTGAAATAATTCAATTCATGCTCACAAGTTTCAGTCTACAAAGGGCAAAACAATGAAAAACAGAGATTTACCAAACAGCCAGAAGTCTGGTTGTTTATTTTCAGCTGCGCCAATGTCCTCCCAGTGCCCAGAGACACGCCTGTCAGGTGGATGAACGTCAATTCATTGGTCACAGGTAGATAAACCTTTAAGAGGTCAGTAAGACTAGAAAAGCACAAGAGAAGCACAAGCAGAAATACATTAATCCACTAACAAATCATGAGCGATGAGCCTCACCTGAATTTTATGCCATTAGAGTGTTTTGAAAATTGTTCAGTCATTGTAATCGGTACACATTCCTAACTATATATAATATATATACTAATATATATACTATACTAGTATATATACTATATATACTATAATATATTTTGTTCTTTGGTTAGGGTCATCACCAATGGTTTCAATGACTTGGTGAACAAAAATAAATTTATATAAAATCTATTAATGGACACTCCTGTAGCTCGTACAATTTTGGTCCTGTGTATTAAAGTACAAAATTGTCATTAAAAGTTTAAGACTGGGACAAACCACAGTGCCCTCCACCAAAGATATGATTATAAAAGGAGACTCTTCTTCTTCTAAAGCTACAATAGGATATTATTTTATGAACATGAAATTGGCGCCAGCTGATGATGTATACAGAAGTGATAACTTTTGTTCAGTGAATGGTAAATGGACTGGTTCTTAGATAGCACATTTCCTCTTTACTTAATCACTCAAAGCACTTTCTTCAGCTTTATTCACACCCAGTCATACCAGTACTTTTTTCTAAACCTGGATCTTTTCTATCTAGAAGAGCAACTTGGGGTTCAGTATCTTGTCCAAGGATATTTAGGCACGCAGACTGTAGCAGTCAGGGGTCAAACCACCAAATTGCCTATCAGGTACCTTCTGAGCTGGTTCCCCTTATCTGATAACATTTGAAATTGGTAAATTAGATGAACAAAGGCTGCAGCTCAGGAGCAAGAGCAGACTGTCTAGTCGTTTTAAGATTGGTGCTTTAACTCATCCATCAGAGTATGAGTGTGTGGTTGTTAGGTTAAACCTGCTTAGTCATAGAAAAATGTAGTAAGAAAGCACTTTGAGTTCTCAGAGTAGAAAAAAGTATTTAAGTACCTCTCCAAACGCTGAGAGATGGACAACTTTTTCTAGTCTAATGATTTGAGACAAACATCTAAATTCATTGTGTCATTTTAACCTTCCATTAAGAGCTTTTGTTGCCCTCCAACTTGGACTCTGCAAACCCTGCAGAGTCATATGAGCATTGTGCACTTTATAAAAGCATCATGCACACTGATAATCTCCTGCTGACACATTTCATGAAAGAGACGCTTCATGAATTCAGAGAAGGAAAAAAAGCTCAGCCAGCAAGTAAAAGGTAATCCTATTTTTCCTCTTTTTTTTCTTCTAAACCTGACCTCCATCAGTGTATGTACCTGTGGGTCATGCTAACTTGTATCACTCCATACCTGCATACCTTCAGTACCAGGGTAGAAAGTGCAAGCTCTGCGCTGCCTTCCAAATAAATATTTTTGCATAAATCATTTTTCATTCTCGCCTAAAGTAAACATGAAAATGAACCACCTGAACCTTTTCTCACTCCCTGCTCACATAATGATGCTTAATCAGGACATGTAGGTGTTCTATTACAATGCACTGGGCACTCTTTTACTGACAGTTTTCACCAGGTTAATCTGATAGGATTTAACACCTGACCTGGACCATAAGCACAAGCAGAAGCACTCTGCTGGTGTGTTAACTGTAGTCAAGGACTTTATCATGGAAACCAAGAACAGTGGAGATATTTTAAAATGTTTTAATCTTGTGGAAGTTTGTATTTTATTTTTCCCTAAATCTAAGTATCTAAGTAGCCTCCGTGTCTAAGCCACATTATTTAATGCCTCAAACTAACCAAAAAGACAGAAAGGCCTCGCAGTCAAAAATAAGCAGCATTCAATCTCTTGGCGGTCATATGATGACTTTTGTTCTAAGTGGTGTGTGTGTGTGTGTGTGTGTGTGTGTGTGTGTGTGTGTGTGTGTGTGTGTGTGTGTGTGTGTGTGTGTAAAAATCAAACATGAAAATGTTTGTAATTCTGGCTGTGAGAATTACCTTTTTTCTCTATTAGGCACCTCCATCAAGGGATGCTTACACAGCATTTTCATCCACACGAGCTATATTCTTTAAAAACTCTGTAGCTAAACTGGACGACTGGACAGACTGCTCAGCTGTCCCATAGTCAAATTGTAAACGGTTACAAGAGAAGTCATTTTCTGCATCCTATTTGCTAATGTAAACACATCAGTGTGAATGAATGGATGTGCTAAGTAGTCCATTATGAAAATATGTGATGATGCTAGCTAAAAGACTGAGCCATGGACTGATACTACAAGGCTGAGGGAGAACGAGGGGGAGGGAAGGAGAGAAATGCAGGCTGAAATTACTTGTGCACGTCTCCACTTTAATGCATTGTAATGTGTCTTTAAACAGGTACTCTGCTGGATCCCAGTGGCCTTTATGATGAAGATGTCAGTTCACCGGAAAGTTTACAAAAGTGAGTCTCATCCCCTGAAAAATCAAATTACCTCTCCTTTTATTCGCATGACAATCATAAATCACAGCGGTCTAAATTCTGCTCCCAAATCTTACGAGTGTACCCATAATATATGTGTACCAAAACATATCTGAGATTTAAAGCTCTGAAATTACCATTGACCCAGTGCTCATGTTTGCAATTTGCTGTAATTACTATAATTTCTTTGGAAATTTTCAATGAAGCATCGTCATGACATCACCAGGCAGGCCACGAAGTCAAGATAAGCCCTAATCTCAGCAAATTTAGATGATGGGAGTGCAAACCCACACTTGACCGTTGCTCAGCTGATACACTGCAAACCATCTCCACCCCAACTGCTCGCTATCATTCAGTGCCTGCTCTGGAGTCTTGTTAATACTCTCTTCACTTTCCACGTATGCACACAGAAGTCTATAGAGGTTGGAGAACAGAGCCAATATCCCAAAATATAAATGACTGTAGACTGAAATAATAATCTTTTTGGTTATAGTGGTCCTGACAGAATTCCAATTAACTATATGCATTTGGATACAACACAGCATCTAAACTTCAGTATGTTGTGTGTTGTTTTCAGACTTATGGAGAACGAAGAGGGAAGGAAGGAGTACCTGGTGTTTCCTCCCAGTAAGAGCCAGTGTCCCGCCAGCAGTCAGAAGGGAAGGAAAATCCCGCTGAAGGGCAACGGACGCCGTATTGACTACATCCTTTACAGCGACGAGGGCCTCCAACAGGACTGGAAACTGGTACGGTTTTGTTGTCTTGCTGGATGACGCTCTCAATACTCAGTCTCATATTTTTATTGTCAATTTGAGACTTTTTTAGACCTTAGAAAACTGGCAACACCTCTTAATAACCTGTCCTTTTATTTGTGTTTGAACTAATTAGCTTGCAATATGCTTAGTAATTTACAAAGCCTCAAAGTATTTCTTTATTTTTAATCTTAAAGATATATGCTGTTTACTCAGTCAGCCTCAGAAAAACAACAGTTCATAGAATTAAGTCCAATATTATACTAAGAAGTGTATTCCCATGATGAGTGTAAACTTTTGACCCGACATCTAAGTGCTTTTAAGAGGTCCTCTAATTCGCTCCATTGACCATAATCAGTTTAAATTTTAATTACGTTGTTTGAATGCAGTCATAGAGTAAGTGGCTATATTGAAAGCATTATTTAAATGAGGTCGTGCTAGCGGTCAAGTCATAATTGAAACGTTATTAAAAACATGCCATTTTTATTGTATTCTGAAGGGATTACTTCAACCACAAATTCAGAGTAATAACAACATATTACAAGCAGATAAATATATGATTTTCATTTTCTGCCTTTCATTTGTTTTATCAGTCTTTATGGAAGTCCAGACTTCCATAACTCCAGACTAGAGACGGCAAATCATTGTTCAACGATGGTGTCAACGCAAAGTGTTGTCAATTAGTGAGTTTCTGAAATGGGCACTCTTAATCAACTTAATCAACAACTGCCCATTTATTTATATCATATAGATAAGACTACAAGAAATTCCTTTGAATCACGCGTGTACAAGCGCTTTCAGAGAGTTCGGGCTCACAGACGTAAACCCCGCAGCTAACACTGACATGAAGTGATGTCATCCTTTCCTATATTCAAAATCCAACAGCTCATTTGGGTGCTCTACCATTCAGCACTGCTTTGAGCTAACTGATCTTAGCTATCTAAGCAGTGTTAACCTACTGTAGCCAATACTTTGTTTTAAGCTAATCAGCTGCATGCTAATTTTAACCAGCTACCCAAAACCTTTCACGCTGCTGTCTAGGGCAGCGGTCCCCAACCCCCAGGCCATGGACCAGTACCGCTCCGTGAGTCGTTTGGTACCGGGCTGCCAGAGTTGAGGCTTGAGTTTGACATTTATGGTTTTCTGGGTTTTTATAATTAACTTGGTTTCCCTGGGCCTTTTCCCATGTTGTAGTTGTGTCTTATTTTGAAAGAAATATTTACACATTACCATAGCGACCAGAGAGCATTAAGGGACAGAGAGGAGGATGTTACTCTCAGTGTTGTTGGCGCATTTCAGGAGGACGCTGCTAATAAAGTTACACAATTATACAGTGAATTTGTGTTTATTATTATATTTACAAAACACCACAGTTTCTGTCTTGGTCGTATCATTTTAGTTTGTTGTATTGATCAGCGACACCTTAAATGCTGGTCCGTGAAAATATTGTCTGACATTAAACTGGTCTGTGACGCAGAAAAGGTTTGGGAACGCTGCGCTAGGGAAACCAATTCCATTCATTCTACGATTTTCTTAAGCTTATCCAAGGTGGAGTCACAGGAGGTGGGGGTGTATCGCAGCAGTCATGAGACAAGAGGTGGGGTATCTCCTGGAGAGGTCGCCAGTGGAAGTCTTTTCTGATTGTATTCTTTAGCTTGCAAACATGTTAGCTTTCTGCACACACACACACACAGGCCAGTCTTTCACTTTTACTCAGGAAATTCAAATTTACCAATACAGAACTACAAAGGTGTTCCCAGATTTCAGTGTCGTCACATTTAGCGTTACATGGAAAAGAAATAAAGGGAAAAGAAATGGTACCCTTCACAGATCACCATTTGAACATGCAGATATCGTAGGGACTGTGTACCCCTGGTGCTTTTTGTATCCTCAAAGTATTGTATTTCTAATATAATTTTACAACTTCCATAATCTTGAGCAACACTTTTTCCCTGCAGGAATCAATAAAGTTTTGATTATACAAGGAGCTGAGAATAACAATGTGACGTCTTACACGGTACACAGACTCAGTACACAGTGCACGTTTTTCACAGCAGACATTCAGATTTATCACAGCACGAGAAGGACGGGTGTGATTAATAACACTAAGAGCAACCCTTCCATTAAGTGGACAAAAGCGAAACCTTCCTTAGGTAATGCAGCGTTCATTCAGTTTCACTGGCATGTCAAAAGGGTTTATTATGAAAAAAGGCAGCACGTGTTTTAAATCGGTGTTCCTACTGCGTTGGATGTGTGAAAGCATCTCCAAATATTACATGCTTAAAACACCAACACAAAAGAGTTTGCTAACAGGGGGCACAGAATTGTGGCATTTTCTTGTCAGCGGGGAGGTGATATGTTTAATTCTCCTCTGATTAATTTCCTAGCAACAAAGCTAAAAACCTAATTTTCCTGAGCCGTGTGAAGCAGGCTGAAATTATGTCACACCACGGGAGAATGTTTGACTAAAATCTGGAGAGGTGAACAATGAAACACAGCAAAAACAACAACAAAAAAGTAGGGAAGAAAAGGAATGAGGGCAGGGCTGTCTGTGTGAGGGACTGGAGAGGATTGGAAAACCAAATCATACTATTTACACCTCTCTCCTTTCTTTCCATCTCTCTGTCTGACTCTTTCTATTGGCTCTCTGAAGGCAGCCGCCTGACGCCACCTTCTGTCAAAGTACAGTTACTGTAGCATCATTTCCCTTAAGTGGAGCTGATCAAGCATGTCGCTAACCTCCCGTCACTTGAAGGGTCTCATTTATTTACATGTTTACCTTAATCTTGTGTTGTTTCTCTTTATCTCTTCATGTTACTTTAAATTATTTTTTGAAGAACATACTTGGATAAAAATGTTTCCACTCTTAGGTTTAAATTGTCCTCCAATAATTATTTAGTGGAGACACAACTTACCTTAATGAAGACAATTAAGTTTTAAATGAGTCGATATATCAAAGTATGACCCAATTTACATATTAAATATTGCTTATAAGTAGTTTCAGTGAATGGATTTTGTACAGAGGGAGGGTTTATTTGTGGAGATGTTGATATATATTTTTAACCACTTCTTAAATCAGGAAACATAGTCAGCAGCCAAGAAAAATACTTTTTTTCCCCTTTCATGTGTTGTTATTAATAAAATCTTCCAGAAATCAGCTTCTCCATTGTATATGAGTAATGTGCCTTTAGAGCATGATCAAAAGGTCATTTTGAAGAAGTAGCCTTCAGAGGAATGTGTTGCAAAAGTCCAAGCATTTCTATTTAATTGGGGAAAATACTAGAAGTAATATTAGGAATATGGACCACCTCAAAATTCTCTCTGTTTATCTCTTACATCAAAAAAAGAAAAAAGAATTTTATATACTTTGTAAAATGTTTTGGTTTTTTTGCCATAAAAATGTAAACTAACATACAAATCCATACTAAAAGAATGTTTCATTTTGAAATGTAAGTTTCCTGTCAATTAGATTGTACGAAGTACTATTAAAAATTCATAAATTGTCACATCTCATCTTAAAACTGCACTATTGATAAAACATATCAACATTGTTAAATGAACTCTCATTGATTGTCATGACAAAGGTTTTAGTAGTACTTGCAGCTACGTTAGCAGTCGTTGTCTGTGGAAAGTACCTTCTATTGACATTACAGTCCACATACTTTTGGTCAGGGTTGTTTATCATGGTTTTGGACAAGTCCCCAGAGTTCCAGTGACATTTAGTGACAGCATGAGGCAGGAAGGCCCTTCCTGCTCCAACATGACAATGTCACCATTCATAAAGCTGATTTTTTTTTTTCAGGAGAGGGAGCACCTCATATTCAAAAAGCACCAAGCAGCTATGATGAATCTAGATGGCCTCTTTCTGTAAAATGTATACATAAAAATGTGGGCTATTTTGGACTCTCAGTTATTGAGATTATGGTTAATGAATAAACCGCTTCAGAGGGGAACAAATGTTCCGATAGCAAATTGAAAAGCAGCAGCAGAGAGCTGCCTCATTAGCTTGTGTTAAAGTAATTTCTCTTTTAACATCTAACTAAAGATTTCAGCATTTCAGTGATTACATTAATGCTTGCTTTATACTGGAGGATGTTGGTTTTGGTAATATTGTAGGCTGCCCGAAGATGTCATGTGCAGTGGTGCTTCCTCTGATCTAAAACAAGGCTGTAAGACACTGATTGCCAACACTCCTAACTATCACTCCTAAACTGAAAAGCTTTTAACAGAAAACCAGCAATGCCAAAATTAATGCACGTGACTTTATTTGAAACGTCTTTTACTTTCTGAAAACAAAAACCAAACCCGCCCTAATGTTGAAAGTTGCTGCAGAATTAACTGCGAGCTTTGTGACGCCTTCGTGATCTGACGATGCTCTCTTCTACTCTTCATCCTGCAGGAAATCGAGGAGTTCAGCTTCGTCACCCAGCTGGCCGGCCTCACCGACCACCTGTCTGTGGCCATGCGCTTGGCTGTTTCCACTGGGGAAGAGGAGCCTTAGACTCATCACCTGAGCTTTTTATTTAAATACTGCCATGGAGAAGAGCAGACAGCCAGGATGAAAAGAAGATGTTACAGATAAGGAGGTGCTCATGGAAAGATTGATGGGGCAGCAAATAGATGGATGAATGAACGAAGGAGGATTAATGAAGGTAGAGAAGAGGACCACCTGAGGGGAGAGAGACTCTGAGAGACTCTGAGCAGGAGAGATAAGCAGGGGAATTCAGTTTAGGAAACCAGAAAGATTTTCATCTTCCTGGGTAAATCACCCACTCAGTCACACACATTAAATACAGCACCACCCACAAGAGATCGACTTCTCGACTGTTGAGTATCGCCTGGCCTCTCCTCCAACGCTCCCTCTGGAACTGAGTCCAAAGGGTTTTATTTTCAGTGAATGGTTTCATGTAGCCAATACACACACTCCTTTTATCAGATCTGTTTTAGTCGTAGTGTTAGTATGATTTCTTTTTTTAATTATAATTATTGTTATTATTATTCTACCTTCAGGGACAGAAGGGACAAACACATTATTGGAGAGAAGCATACAGCTACAGACTGGCCTTTACACTGACCGTCTGTGTCTTTGTGTCGTGTTCCTTGCTGAAAGGCTCTTGGTCAGTTATTCACCTTACTGCTCTCACAGTCAGTCCCAGGAACCTCAACAAGTGTCTTTTCTTTTCTAAAAAAAAAAAAAACAAGTCTTTCTAAAAGGATGAAATCAATGTACAATTTCTATTGTGGCCGCACCAATTTTTATAAGGAGTTGAAATGCCTGTTTAATATTATATGGTATGTTTCTATAAAGAGGTATTGTTTAAAGGGACATGAAACTGGAGACAAAACGTTGTCGATTGAATGCGATGCGACGCTACAGCATGTTTTCTCAGCCATGTTTGGTGAAACCATTGGTGAAGCTTTGCTGATGCATGATGGGAAATGGTGTTAGTTTACAACATTCATATAAAGGCTTGACACATACTTATACGTGTCTGAATGCCTCAAGGGGCATTTTGGCTCTCAAACACATACCTGCGTGTCTGTGTGGCATTTGTGCATGCTAATGCTAATAACACACATACAGAGGATTTACCTAATGCAGGCACACAGCTATACACATGACATAAGGGGGGCTTTCAGTGGATGTAACAAACCCCCTGGCAGCCAAATTGGACCTCTTCACGAGTCCGACACGAAACATGGCGATCTTTTTGAGAGACTAGATATTGTCAACTTGTTAGCAAACAAACCGTAGTAGCTGGTTGGCAAACCATCACTTTATTGTGAGCACATCTGTTTGGTTCACTTGGTAAATTCCAGCATGAAGCCCAGTTATTAGCACAGCAAGTTGTCCAGTGGATTATTACGTTGACAGCCATATTGCGACGCAACTGCAAAACCTCATTGTTCCGTAACATTTTAAACACCTACAGGCTGTGCAATATGCCACGTAAACTCAATATAAAGTTCAAAACAGTCCCAAAGATTAGCACAGACCGACCAAGAAGACACAGAATTCAGATTTTATTGCATCAAACGCTTCTTTTTTTCACTTTTTTCACAAATACCTTTAAATAACAGAAACTATCCTGGGTTTTTTTACAATGTATCCAATATTTTCAAAAAGCAGGACATGTTCTGGTTTGTTGTTGTTGTTTGTTTGTTTTTATTGCGGCACAAATTCCTGGGAATGATTTGCCGGTAAATGTTCTATAATTACCTGGATTTCATTTTTCTTTTTAAATGGAGAAGTGTCGAAGTGAAAAAACAAAACGTAACTGAAGGTGTGTTCAGACTGAAAGCCCATGTGAGACTTTTTCTCTTTAATGAAAAAACAAAAAATTCCAAGTATTTTGTGCAAATTCAGTCAAATTCCCACCAACTGCTTTGCCTTCAGCCTAAATGCACCTTCAGATTTCTGCTGTACTGTGTTACAATGTGGAGAAACTGGCTGGACAATTTTGAAATACTAAATCATTATAAAGCCATTACACCAACTCTCTGTGTGTAACAGAGCCAAACAGACCATGGTATCAAACAGGAGCTGGAACTTTGAGAAGTGTTTAGAGACATGTGCTTACTCAAACTGTCCTTAAATACCCCCAGACATGCAGCTGTGGTGCTGTGAACTCAGAGTGCTGTGGGCGAGTGACCTTGTTACCTTGAACTTTAAGAAACGAGGAAGCAGTTTTTAAACTATCAGTATTCTTAAGTGAGATGCTGCCAAATTAAACAGTTCTGCTTGGAAAAACTACAACTGTCATTCATACAGCAAATTCCTTGAATATAAAACAGGCAAACATTAGCCATCACAAGCTAATGGTCATATCAAGCCAAGTCAAGTTTGCATCCAAATGCTAGATTCGTATTTTCTCCACAGTACCTGTTGTTTAGCACCACACATGCTAACCTGTAAACAGTAAATGCAGTAAACTCCAGATTAATCTTCTACCATTCTGTTTGATCCAGGAACTACACCCATACTGCCGTAACACCTCTCTCTCTGAACAAAACATGCTTTACGGTGATAGTTAAGTTTGCAGATACTGTCTGTATACCATGATCTGCAGGGTAAACAATGTTTACAACAGTTTTGTGACCTTTCTACCTGTCTCGTAATCACTTCAGGGGAAACGTTTCACTTCAAGCATCACTTTCAGCATCAGTGCAAATATGAATACGTTGGGGCAACTTCATGTGGTATTTTCCCCCCAGTTAAAAAGTGCAAGCTGGCATTTCTCTGAATAAAAACTGTGCTGAATGATAACCCAGGGTGGCCAGTGCACTATAGTATGTTTACAGGCATGGTATCAGCAGTCTACATCCTGCTGTTGTGAGTGTGTGTGCGTGTGTGTGCACAGGACTTGTCAGTCATCCTGTTATGTATGTTCAGCTTACAGTTTTGCATACAGTATGAGTCCATCTGTCATGTGACTCTCTATATTACTCATGGTATTATTATGACTGACACGTTCTTGTTTTTACCAAGTCTGTGCTTCACCATGTTCCTTTTTTATTTGATTTTTCTGAGACAAAGTCAGGTGAATTTGAGAATAATCACTGCTTTGCTTAGGGTAACATCACACACCCAAGAGCACTTGGTAAATAGTCATGTAAATACACTATATGAGTAAAGGAAAGGTGCCACGGTGAGCATCTGCTATGAGGTATAATAAATCAAAGGTTTGGAGAAGTACTGTGTTAGCCAATGTAAAAATTTATTTATAAACCTTTATTTTTCAACTGTTGTATTTATTGCATCAAATCTGAATACTGCCGAACAGTTCATTTGTAAGAATGGACAGACAAACAGTGTAACACGTCTTATTTTAAAGCTGGACTGTGAAGGTTTTTGATTTTATATTTGGATTTCATTTTGTTTTGCTAATTCTTCTGTGTTATTTTTAATATTTCCGATTTAAAGTTCAAAGGAGAGTGTTGGTTTGTGTGGGTGTTGAGGGTTTATACCAAGCCTTAGGTTTGCAGTTGGGTGACTTTTCAGTCAGTCATGCGTAAACTTAGCAGTTGGAGGCAAATATGAACTCATCCTGTTGTGTATTCCTGTGAACTCTTTCTAAGCAGCGTGTTAGGCTGGTGAAGAGAAAAATGCTCAAGTGTGGTTCCATTTAAGTGGCATTAAATTCAATTTCTGGGCCACTTTAATGCTCTTAAACTGGTCCGCTGTTTGGTGCTGGGCAGGCACACTGACTACAGATGCAACCGCTGACTGTATATAAAGATGGACAAATAGCACATGTCCACTTTATCTTCCAAAACTGATGGAAGATATATGCTGGTGACAAGATCTCTGTTGTAGTGATTAGAAGTAGATCCTAGTATGAGTGGTTCTTCTAACATCACACAAAATTATTATTACAAGTCAATAAATTCCTCTCCCCCAACTCCACGTCCTACTTCCAGATCAAATTTCCTGAACATTAAAAACACATTTTCAAATTTAACTGGAAGATAAAACCCATGATCTCGAAACTCCAAAAATGTGGAAATTAGCAGACATCAAATAAATAAATGAGTAGTAATAATTACAATAGGGAATTGAAACAACCAAAGATCAAGTCCTTTATAAAAGCAAATTGAACAAGTATAGTACTTTCTAAAGTCACTTCATGCGCCTATTTTCATTTGATATTAGAACAGCCTGTAAAAACAATGTTAATGTCTCCCAGAGTTAAGTGTTAATATGAAACAGTGATGTGCAGAAAATAAACCGACAGATATTCTAAACTAAGGATGAATATGGTTTGACTTTGATAGGAGATTAAAACTGAGACCATTTACTTTTCATTAGCTCTGGATGAAAAGGATAAATGGTACGGTGTTCTGAGACGGACATATAGGTAAAAAATAAAATTCAGAATCAATTCAAAGTCTTAAAATTTTAATGCATCAACTTGTCTCAAGTACAGTTTTGGTTTATTCACCAAAAGACTCGCATTTACACGTTTGTAGAGGAGAAAAATTATTATTGCAAATTTGGAATTTTAGTCCTGATAAATATTGTATTTGTGCAATATTCAGTGCTCGGAGGTCTTAAAACCTCGATGCCTTCGCTGTGCTATCAGACTATATTAATTATCTAGTTTATAAAAACCAAACACTTTGAATTTTTAAAAAGTATTTGCTTTAGCCCTCTGAAGTCTAAGTCATTATCAGCTCTAAACCCTAAACCTAAGGAGGAAAGCAAAAAGGACTCCACTGTTGTTGACGTACACATTGGTGAGTTGAGTCCTTTTGATGATTGTAACCATTTTAACAAATAATCGGGCTGTAGCTTTTTAATTCCTGATTAATTCTGATTAATATGTACTGACCATGTCAGCACTATATTAAGGAAAACACTCTGCCATTAATGATGCCACCACCTCCCAGCTGACTGCGAATGTTGCTACTCACAACCTAAAAACAGTGCAATCTAGACTATGAACATTTATAGAGCTGAAATTATTTCTCTTGAATAATTATAATTATGCAGTCTAGCACCTTTTGTTGTAAATAGGAGAACAACATATTGTTTCAAATCTGCCTCACTGCACTGCTGCTCCTGACAATCAAACAACTGGAATTGTTTGGTCAAAGGCTCGTTAGGAGCTTCAACCACAGCCACACAAACCTTAACTGTAATGACACCCAGGGCCACTTCCATCACTTCAGCCCTTTAAAAACAAACATTAGGACAAAATTAGATTCTCACAACGGTCAGCTGATTGGCTTGTAAGTGACAGGAATGTAGACACCTCGATAACGTAGTGCTCCCGACACTTTAGCGTCCATTATCCTGCTGCAGGGAGATGACCAAAGTTATCATTATAAAGACTAAAGATGAAGATGTGCACCGTACTTTGGTGAACACATGAAAAATAATTTACTCCTTCCTGCATCTTTTGGTGTCTGTATTCTTAGGGGAGCTAACCAGCAGGCCAGTTGATGTCTGTATGTCTGATATAATTTTGCTACATTTCTGATCACAAATCACTGCCTGCCTTGTGTCCACGTTGAGTTCAGGACAGAGTTATTCAGCAGTTAGTTGGGGATTTGAGCTCTAACCTTTTGTAGCTGCATGTAGTGTAATATTGCTTTAGGCGTGTAGACTTCATAGGAGTGATGCTTCACTTTGCAATCCTTTTCTCATTTGTTTTTTTTTTCTATCATGTGTCTCCATGTTTTTTAATTGATTCTTGTCTTTTGGGGGGGAGGGGCTTATCGATGGGTTTGTCTGGCTGGGTCTCTGTAACTTGGCTCGGGGGATCAACTCCTTTTCTCTTTCTAAGCTTCTTCAACAAAACTGCTTATTTTCCTCTGCTTTTCTAAAGAAAAAAATCAAAGGAACTTTCCTCTCTACACGTGTCTTTGTGTCATTATTCACTTGAGGTCATTCAATGAACTGCAATTGTAATGTTCGTGAAAATAACTAGTGGCTATAACAACCAAAAGTGCCATGACAAGCTTGTGGCAAGCGGTAACGCTATCTACCCTCAAAGTTTTTGTAAGTGAAAAGCTGCTATTGGTTGTTTGTGCTTCAGCTCATTTCCTCTTTTTCCAGTGTATCACAGTACGACTGCTTAGCACTGAGGTTAAGTCTGATAGAGACTGCCCTCTGGCTCTTAAAGGACAAAGTTTAAAGAAGTGAAAGAAGCCTTTAAAGAGTCCTTCTGCTTTTGATGAACAGGGGAAGAAGTCTAACACCTAAAATTTACATACAATGCTCTGTCAAGTGTCGAAAAAAACCCGCTAAAAAGTCAGATTAGTCATACAACAGAAAAGCACTGGACTGTAAACATGTCAAAGAGCTGCTCATCTTCCTATTAATTCTGATTCATGCTTTCTGAGATTTTCTAGCCTCCATGTTAATCCTTCTATCAATCTTTTAAGCATCGCACTGGTCACTGTTTTTATACTGACGATTAGATGAAAAATGTGAACGAACAAAGAAGTTTTTCATAGTAGCAAACAGATTATCATCCACCTCTGCAGGGCCTTTTATTGCTGAGTTCTACAGAGCTATTTTTAAAAGTTATTATTTCACCTCTTTTTTTGATCCACTTTACACTTGCTGCTCTGCAAAAAAAAAAAAAAAAAAAAAAAAAGCAACTTAGCGGTGGTTTACGAGGTGGTTTTTGTGCCAGAATTTCACTGGTTGGAAGCATGACTCCAGTGAGTGCTAATGTGGCATTTTAACATAACCCCATACAGTGTGTTAATTTGTCACTGGTGTTTACTGCCTCCATATGACCTTTCATCATTCCCATTGTTTTGCAGTAGCAGTTAGCCACTTCTTTTAAGAAGTCTCTGGGTTCACCAAAAAGCAGAAGTTAAAAAAATATTCACTAACCGCTGAACTTTTTATAGTCAGAAGCGCTGAGATAAGTGTGCTTTCTAAATGCTTTGACATTTTTCTTTTTTTGATATGTTAACATGTCATGTTGCCAGAAAAAAACTTAAGCCATCTTAAAGTGACACTTTTGTCATTAGAACAACAAGTCAAGCATCTTTATTTATAGAGACAAACATCACATATCTAAAGCAGCCTCTTTAAAAGGGCTTTATATAGATATTACAATACTGTGTGTCAAAGCAAAAAAAATGCAGAATTAGTTCAGTTATTAACTTTATTCTTATCAAATTACAAAGACACAGCAACCCTGCTATGTCAATAAACAAAAAAAAAGCCTACAACACAAATTCACCTATCTAAAGGGATGGAAACCACAAGCAACAACCTACATGCTCACACTACTCACTGACAAAACAAAATCCACACAGGGTTGTAATCCTGTGCCAACAATGCCCAACGCATTAGTCGCTGGTTCAGATTGAACATCCAGTAATAAAAACAAGAGTGTTGTGGTCTGTGAACGCTGTTCCTGAGGGAGAGCTAGAGGCAACAGAGACTACAAAATACTGTCGCTCAAGAAGCGAGGCCAGTGTCTCCTTTTCTACAGTGGTGAAGTTTCATTGATGGGGTTTAAACTTCACTGAGAAATAGCAGACAGGGTGGCACACCTCCATCCTGGAGTAACATGGCGCCAGCTCTTGTGGTGCTGGCATCAACATCTAGTTTGAAAGGGTGAGAGAAGTCAGGAGCAGCCAGAACAGGGGCCCTACAGAGGAGGGACTTTGCCGACTCAAATGCACATTGGCACTCTTCAGATAAGAGGCATGGATGGACTACACAACTTGGTCAAAGGAGCTACAGAAAAGCTTCTACAGAAACACCTGTTATATCCAGTCATCCCTAGAAACCGTTTTAGTTCCCGCCAAGTTGTTGGAACCGGATAGTTTAGCATTACAGCGACTTTGGCCTTCACTAGATGAACCTGTCCAAAACCAACCTGCTTGCCTAAGTGTGTAACTGTCGCTTTACGTCTGTGTAGGCTCTCAGTCATTCAGGTCATGGTAATCTAGGGACCTTGAAAAGAAAAGCGACTGGACTTCTTGAGTTTCTTTAACACGTTTCACCTCTCATCCAAGAAGCTTCTGACACTTGCCGGACTTTATCAAAGGTGTAAGCATCACAGCAGATTCCTTTGTGTCAAAGTAACTGAGGATAAAACACAGAAAAACCACCATCCTAGCTCTCCTTGTGGGGAACACACCCAGTCATGTCAAAAACTCCACTGACTTATTCAAGTTTATTGGAAGCCCACAAACACAGACCAGTACCTACTCTTTGACACCCACGACCCTCTGGAACACAAACTTGGAGTGATCAGGATCCTGCAA